GACTCATTCATTGAGTGATTGATGGACTGACTCATTGAGTGAGTGATGGACTGACTCACTCATTGAGTGAGTGATGGACTCACTCACTCATTGAGTGAGTGATGGACTCACTCATTGATTGATGGACTCACTCATTGATTGATGGACTGACTTATTGATTGATGGACTGACTCATTGATTGATGGACTGACTCACTGATTGATCCTCTCACTGAGTGATTGATGGAGTTATGTGTAAATAGATTGACCGATGGACTGACTATCTGATTGATTTATTGATGGACTGATCAGCTGACTGACTGATTGACATTTATGTTGACAGAAGTTTAACTGAACGATTGATTGATCAATAGACTGACGGTCTTACTGACTTAATGATTAATCCACAAAGTGATTGATAAACGTATTGATGGACTGATTGGTTGACTAACCGATCGATGCACCAGCTTAGTGACTGTTGGACTGATTAGTTGCCTTATTGATTAACAGATTGATGAACTGACGCACTAATCCTTCAATGGACAGATGTTCTGGACAGACTGACTGGTTGTTGATGAATTGATTGATTGCCTGCATGTGTTTTTCAGAACTCAGGTCTGATGAACCAGAAGAAGAAGCTGGAGGCGGACGTGTCTCTGCTGACGGGGGAGGTGGACGAGGCCATGCAGGAGAGTCGCAGTGCTGAGGAGAAAGCCAAGAAAGCCATCACTGATGTCAGTCCTGACCTCTGACCCCTGACCTCTGTCCACCACATAAATAACCCTGATTTATCTTGCGTTTTAAAGTTGTTACGTTTTCATTACCTCTAAACATGTTTTTCACCAGGCGGCTCTGATGGCAGAGGAGCTAAAGAAGGAGCAGGACAGCAGCAGTATGATGGAGAGAATGAAGAAGAATATGGTGTCCACAGTGAAAGGTACAAAAGACAAACACCAACTCTGTAATGACGGTTGACAACAGAGGTTGACCTGCCGGGCTGATGTTAACGTCGTGGTCGTCTCTCTCGCAGAGCTGCAGGTCAAACTGGACGAGACGGAGCAGATGACGCTGAAGGGAGGAAAGAAACAGCTTCATAAGCTGGAGACAAGAGTGAGTGTTGAAGCCAGCGTTGGCCCGCTAGTACTTGGAGCTGAGCAGACAGTAGTAACATGCTAACAACCCGTTTCTAAACAGGAACTGGTTCTAAATGAGTAAAAACCCGGAGTATCGATACTGTCCGGAGTTACCGGTTCTGCTCTCGGTACTTTAGAAGTTCCAGAGTGAGACGTCCTCGTCTCAAACCTCCTCTCACTGAACCTATTTTAAAGATTTCGAACTTCATGTGTTGCTGCTGAAGAAAAATGGAAAAATGTGTTTACATACAAGAATAATAAAGAAATGTTAATTATTTGTCTTTTTTTCTCACAAAGTAATGAAAAAGAACCGATAAGCAGTATCGATAGCATCCTAATGATACCCATCCCTGCTTCCTAAGAACCAAGCAGCAGCACGTAAACCTGAGTGGATGAAACAGGAGCGATGCTTTCTGTTCAGGTGAGGGAGATGCAGACGGAGCTGATGATGGAGCAGAAGAGGAGCGACGAGTATCTGAAAGGAGTCCGTCGCAACGAGAAGAGAGTGAAAGAGCTGACGTACCAGGTCGGATCACCTCCCATCACCCAGCTGCTGCTTATGTCCATACAGACGTTCTGTTGGTTCTATGCGTTTCTATTGGTTCTCTTTGTGTCCCTGCAGTCAGAGGAGGACAGGAAGACTCTGCTGAGGATGCAGGAGCTCATCGACAAGCTTCAGACCAAAGTCAAGAGCTACAAGAGACAAACAGAGAACGCTGTGAGTCTGATGAGTTCTTTCATTCAAACTGACATGATGAGGTCACAAATCAGAATTGAGTGTTGAAATAGTTTAATTAAATACATATTTTGTATAATAACAATGTGTGAAATGACAATGGGTTGTGTGTCTCTGGTAGTGAATGATCAGATGAATCTTTATAGAAAGTTTAAGTTCATTGATTCAATTTTACTGTCCTGGTTTAATCTGTTCACGACCTGCTCAGCAGACAGACTCAGTCAGAGACCAGCTGGTGAACAGATGGAGCATTCAGCAGCTAGACAGACAGATGTTTCCCTCAGGAGCTGGTGGAGACCAACCACAGAGCTAAAAGAGAGAGAATATACATGTTGCTATGTAAGAGAGATAAGCAACTGTTTGCTAGATCTACAAATCAACTGTAAAGTTGACAACATGTCAATGTTGTGTTCACAACTTGTTTCCGCTCTGCTGAACAATGAACGTGGTTATTGAAAGGTTTAATGCTGAATCGTCGCGGCCGTTGTTCCTCTTTGTGTCCACCAGGAGGAGCAGGTGAGCTGCAGCACGGTGCGCTTCAGGAAAGTCCAAAATGAGCTGGACGACGCCGAGGAGAGAGCCGACGTCGCCGAGACGACCGTTAACAAGCTGCGGATTCGAACCCGCGAGCAGACCAGCAAGGTCGCCATGGTGAGGCCCGCTCATGCGCTTATTGTTATTGTGTAGCCGTGCAGTGTTTCTGATCTTCTGTTTGTGTTTCAGCAGATCATCGAATGAATGAAGCTCTGCTGCCTCTTCAAACACCTTCAGTGTTTTTCTGCTGTTCGTGTGACGTTTCCAATATCTGATTGCCGTGTGTTTGAGTCTGACGTGGTTCTGTTGTGTAGTCCAGGATCATGGGGGGACACGTGAATCTGCATCTGCTGTACTGTAACCATGTCAATATGATTCTGTGTCTCCACTGTAAAGCATCGTCAACTGGTTTGTAGAGGAAGTGTCGAAGGAAGCCGGTATGAATAAGAGCTGGTGTACAGCAGAGCAGTATAGTAGTACTGAACGGTACAAGTGTGTAGTACTGAACGGTACAAGTGTGTAGTACTGAACGGTACA